CTTCTGGTACCTCCCCCACATAGGGTTCAACATTTTGAAGAACAAAACGCTCAAAGAAATCGAAATAGGATGCTTATTTCGCTTCAAATTTCGCAATATATATACCAAATTTTTTCGGTCCCATGCGGTCCCATTCCTTTGGAACATACTCCTTAGAATAATCATAACAGAAATCAAAATATATTTTTATAATCGAACATTTGCTGAGGGTTTATTTACATCTGTCGGCAAAACCGACTGATACTTTTTAACTTGCCCTTTTTTTCGATAATTTCCAACGCCACTCTTACTCTTTCGACCAAGGGGGCCAAATCGCCATAACACAGGGAGAGCGTACCCCCCACAATCCGGATTATGGGATATTAGTAATATTAGGGAACTTCAGCTACAGTAAATACATCAGCCACACGTGTCTTCTATTTTTATACCCTCCACCATACTATGGAGGGTATATTAACTTTGTCATTCCGTTTGTAACTCCTCGAAATACTAATGTCAGACCCAACAAAGTATATATATTCTTGATCAGCGTAAAATTCTAAGTCGATTTAGCTATGTCCGTCTGTCTGTCTCTGTGTCTGTCTGTTTGTCCGTCTGTCTGTCTGTCTGTTGTAATCACGCTATTTTTCGAACGAATAGAAATAGAAGGGTAAAATTTTGTGCACATGATTATTTTCCCAGTAGACAGGTTAAGTTCGTAAATGGGTCATGTAGGTTCACGTTTTCATATAGCCCCCATATAACGGTCCCTCCCCATATTCGGTATTTTGATGATTTTAGCGACATTATTCACCGGAATTGTTTCAAATTTGGTGTTTGAAGTTCGAAATGGATTCTACAGCCTACGACATAAAATTATCTGTGCAGGTTCACGTCTTCGTATAGCCCCCATATAACGGCACCTCTCTACATTCGGTATTTTGATGATCTTAGTGACATTATTCACCCGAATTGTTTCAAATTTGATATTTGAAGTTCGTAATGAGAACTGTAGTCTGTGACAGAAAATTGTCTATGCAGGTCCAGGTCTTCGTATAGGCCCCATATATCAGTACCTCCCTATAATCGGTATTTTGACGAGTTTAAGTACAAAACCCACCGAAATTTTTTGAGATGTGGTATTTGAAGTTCGTAATGGATGCTACAGCCTGTGACAGAAAATTGTCTGTGCAGGTTCACGTCTTAGTATAGCCCCCATATAACAGTGCTCCCCGATATTCGGTATTTTGATGATTTTAGCGACATTATTCACCGGAACTTTTGTAAATTTGGTATTTGAAGATCCTACTGGATACTACAGCCTATGACAGAAAATTGTCTGTGCAGGTCCACGTCTTAGTATAGCCCCCATATAACAGTACTCCCCGATATTCGGTATTTCGATGATTTTAGCGACATTATTCACCGGAATTGTTTCAGATTTGATGTTTGAAGTTCGTAATGGATGCTACAGCCTGTGACAGAAAATTGTCTATGCTGGTCCAGGACTTCGCACAGCTCCGAGATAACGGTACCTCCCTATATACGATATTTTGATGATTTTAGCTACATTATTCACCGAATTTGAATATGGTAATGGCTTATGACAAACAATGCCTATGTAGGTCCACGTCGTATAGACCTCAATATAACGGCTATATTCGGTATTTTTAATATTTTTACAGAATTTTTTAAGGATTTTATTTTTTGAAAATTTCCAAATTCGTTCCAAATGGTCCGGCCCGCCCGAACTAACTGCTTTTTAACTTGTTTACTCTGCTTTCATAATCTTCTGAATTTTTCCGTAATTATTGAAAATAGGGAATTTAGTCGCACAGTATTAGCTACATAGAACTCTTATTAACAGCAATAAAACTTTTGATTTTTCGTAGCAGAAAGTATGAGTATTATTCATGGCCCTCATTGCGTATACGCTACAAGTTATTTTATCCGTTCGCTGTACCAACACACAGGTGTATATAAAAAAAATTTCAAAATTTCAAAAATTGTTAACATGGACTGTCATTAATTAAAAGCAATCTGCTATTTCAAGTCAACACCTTTATTAAGCGATTCATCTACGAAATAATTCAATTCAACGCCCCACCCTCATTGTCCTTAAACCAAAAAAAAAAAAAAAAAATACATTAACAGAGATCACATTATGTCAATTGCAATTATTTATTCGAAACTTCCGTGAAATCTTGCACACCGGAGAGAATAAAGAAACTCGAAACAAAAAACAACAACAATAAGAAAAATCGTCTGTGTCATACAGACAAAAGAATTTCTTAATGCTTATAAATGAGGATGATGATGACGATGATGTATACCCCATTATTCTCTACATACGTATGTTCACGCTCATATCTGCGTGTGTATGTATGTATGTATGCGAACACATAGATTATTTACACATTGTAAAGGCGTGTAAACAAAAATTAAATTAATATTCCAGGAAATGAAGACACAAGCCAAGAAGAAGCAGAAGAAGTAAAAAGATTCATCAACCAGCGGACACTCCTCACTCTACAAGATAATTACTAATGTACATATGCGGGGTGAGATGAAAAAACTGCAACGAACTTCAGACTGCTGTCATTTCTAAGTCACTCGTCCGACAGCTGTTAAAATTATTCCAGTGACAGATCATTATGTTGTTTACAAGCCTACAAAAGCATTTTGGTGAGAATTTTCCAGAAAAAAAGTTATTCGTGAGAGAGTTCAAGAGCGATAGTGCGATTTCTTTATATTTGGCCGGAAAACCATAAGTGCCTTGGTCTCGCACACATATTGTCCGCAGACCTTGGACATTCCAACAGGACTCAGCACCATCGCACTCAGCACGCGCCACCCATGAATGGTTACAAAATGAGGTTCCTTGCTTCATTTCCAGCGCACAATGGCCACCAAAATCTCCGGATACCAATCCGTTGGTCTATTATGTCTGGAGTATTTTGGAAAGCAAGGTTAGCACTAAAAAAATATCAAAGTGTCGAACATCTCAAGCAAGCGCTTCGCTAGGAATGGGCCAAAATACCGCAGAACAACATTCGGGCAGCGTGTGATGGTTTCATCGGCCGCTTGAAGGCCATACTTCGTGTCAAAGGTGACCAATTCGAACAAATCTAAACTTATTCTGAAATTTGATGCTATTTCCGACATATTTTGCTTTCATTTAATAAAATTTAAAAAAAAAATTAAAAACTGATGGCGTTTGACTTTGTTGCAGTTTTTTTATCGCACCCTGTATTCGACCGATGTACTCCATTTTCATACTCAATCTAATATTGGTATGGGCAAAATTACAAGAAAATCGAACATTTTGTATCCAATTTTATGCGAAATAAATAAATTCCCATATTATTCCAAATTTATCGAAGGTTTCTGGTTGAGAGAAATATAATAAAGAATCGCTGAATTGTTTCGCAAGTTGTGACATATAAAAGTATTGAAATTTGTGACCCTTTGTGGGTGGCGATTTCTTTTTATAGGTTTTAGTACCCATTACGAACTTCAACTACGAAATTTGAAACGATTCCGGTTAAAAATCGGGAGGTATCGCTTTTTTGGTGGCTATACGAAAACGTGGACCTGCACGGACCCTTTTTGTCATACATTGTAGTACCCATTACGAGCTTCAACTACGATATTTGAACCGATTCCGGTTCATAATGTGGCTAAAATCATCAAAATACCCTACATCGTAATAGGTATTGCTATTTGGGCGCTATACCAAGACGTGGACCTGCATAGGTAATTTTTTGTTATAGGTTGTAATTCCCATTACAAAATTTAAATACAAAATCTGAACCGATTCTGGAAAATATAGCGCAAAATCATCAAAATACCTAATATTAGGAGGTACCGTTGCATGGGGTTTATATGAAAACATGGCCTCTATAGGAACATAACCTTCCTATATTCGACAAATTTAGCACCTATTGGAATTCGCTGTTCCTTTTTCTTATAATTTCACTGTCCAATAGCCAGTCTGGGCTGTGAATTCCAAGATCAAAACCCCAAACGAAATTTGGGCTCTTAGGCCAAACTTTTTAAAAGACTTGAGCATATTAAAAAGGGTCTCCAAATGTTTGATTTCGCAACATATAAGTAGATCTTGAAAAAAATAGAAGGCTTTGATCTACCTCAAAATTATTGGGTTTAAAAATTTGTCATGTCGATCGACTTTTTGTTATAGTTACTATATAAAGGTATACATAAAAACTTTGGTATGCCGCTTTTACACCACATAACTAGTCGCGAGAAACCTTAATGACTTTTCTTCTCAATTGGCGCCTTCGTTTGGCCCCAATCACAAATTATTTCAAAAATGTATGTTGTCCTGACACAATTGTCTACGACAAAATCTCACCTAATTACACTTCACTTTAGCAAAACAAAAAGACCAAAAATAACTCTTTCGTTAATGAATCGCAATGAAATTAGCACTTCTTTTTTTGTCACGAAGGCCCCCCGCCAACAGATTTTAAAGGCTGACATAGATTTGTGACAGGCACAGTGGTGTCAAAATAACAAAACATGTAATGGTAGATTGTTTATATTTAGAATTATTTCGAAATAAACAGCCGCAAATGATACAGGATGCAAATAAAAATAACAACATTTGTCGGCATAAAGGCAACAACAAAACCAAAAAAAAAAAACGAAAAAAACAACCGAAAACAGTGGCCATTTAGAAAATTCGCAATGAATTTTCGCTGGCCACTTTTACAAATATTTATGTCTGTCGGGCTTTGTTTATATGAATCTATACTGCGGTTAGTTTGTATTTTGTCGTAGTAGAATAATCGAATTGTTATTTCAGCATTTGATTTCTTCATTATGATCGGGTATGGCGGGGCTTATGATCATTGTGAACATCAATGTTGAATGCGAAAATAAATATACAAAATATTCGGTGAACTGTCTGGTGTCCACTCGCGTCGTTTTTTTGTTTTTTGCCCACTTGGATACCACAGAAAACATGATTGTCAGTACATACATACATACAAACATACATACATATTTTGCTATTTGCCTTTTTGTGTATATTTTTCCCCGATTCGTTTTTCTTCTTTTTTTTTCTCTTGATGATGGTGGCATACAAAATTCTTATATAAAATTCAAAAAAGAATTTTTTTTTTGATTTTTAACAATTATTTGTTGGGCACAGAAAACTTATGGCGTTTTAATTCGCGATTTTTTACACAGAATTTATTTATTTTTTTCTTTATTTCAAAATTGGCTCATTAGTTTTCACATTTCCATTACAAATTTTTCCGTGATCGCACCGAAACATTTAAAAAAAATATTCCATTAAACTAGAAAAATGGCTATTTTTAAAATGCAATTTCAGGCACTCGGCTGATGCTGATGGATGCGTAGTACTTCTCTGGCCACCGTTGGACACCGAGAATTTTCGTTTTTCATACCGAACCGCAGGAGAATCTAAAGAAGACTGACTATGATATTCGAAAGAAAAATAGCTGGTTAGCAGAATGAATATCTCTTTGGGATTGGGGAATTTCGAAGATGCCTAGAGAGAGAGAGGGAGATTGGGAGAAAACAGAATGGATTTGTTTATTTTTCCACAGCTAGACGACCCCAGGAATGTTTTAAGGGGCTTAAGTTTTTCATAAAATTTTAATATTAAAACATGCATTCGACTGGCCGTGGTGCTAAGAGAACATTTCTTTTCCATTGTTCTGAAAATTTCAAAGAGAAAAATATCAGTTCTCTGAAGAGAAAATCTCTCTTGAAATATTTTTTAGTAAGGACACACGAAAGAAAAGTGGTAAGAGTTACATTTCGGTATTTTACACTACCAATATGAACATGTTAAAAAGCAGTACCACCATTTGTAACGAATTTGGAAAATTTCAAAAAAAAAAAAATCCTAAAAAAATTCTGTTAAAATTTTAAAAATACCAAATATAGCCGTTATATTGGCGTCTATACGACGAGGACCTACATTGGCATTATTCGTCATAAGCCATTACCATATTTAAATTCGAAACTTGAAATAAACGGTGAATAATGTAGCTAAAATCATTAAAAATATATCGGAGCTGTGCGAAGACCTGGACCTGCATAGACAATTTTCTGACACAGGCTGTAGCATCCATTACGAACTTCATATACCACATCTCAAACAATTTCGGTGGGTATTGCACCTAAAATCGTCAAAATAACGAATATAGGGGGGGTACTGATATATGGGGCCTATACGAAGACCTGGACCTGCACATAAAATTTTCTGTCACAGACTGTAGTTCCCATAATGAAAAATAAATACGTAATTTAAAATAATTCTGCTAAATAATGCCGCTAAAATCTTCCAAATGCCGAATATTGGGAGGTACCGTTATATGGGGGCTATACGAAGACGTGGACCTGTACAGTCAATTTTCTGTCTTAGGGTGTTGCATCCATTTCGAACTTTAAATACAAAATTTGAAACAAGTTCGATCAATAATGTCACCAAAATCATCAAAATACCGAATATCGGGAAGTACCGTTAATGTACCAAAAATGGTTAGAAAAAAAAAAACAGCGGCGTAATCGAAAACCGAGTTGCAGTGGCCGAAAAATGGCTTGTGAGCTGAACATATAGCAATATTCCATTCGGAAAAATATTGAAATTCAAAAAAGTGCAAGAACTTACACAGCAACAGAAAGAAAATAGGCTCAAAAGAGCTAAAGAGTTGATTCGCTTGGTCGAAAGTGGTGAACTGCCGAATTTGGTTTTCTCCGATGAGAAAACATTCGTTGTCCAGCAGTCTGTAAACAAACAAACCACGAAGGCATCTCATAAAAGGTCAGAAGTTCGCTTAAAAAAATCAAAATTCTTCTCACAGAAATCCCAAAGTTCTACTCAAAGAAGGCCAAAAAGTATTTTCAAAGAAGGTCAGAAGGTCTTTTCTCAGAAACCCAGAAGATCTTTTCACAGAAGGCCAGAAGTTCATCTTCAAGAAGGTCAGATGTTTTCCTCTTTAAAGGTCATAAGGTCTCATAACAGACCGATATATGGACAATAATTCCGAAGGTCTTCCCATGAAGAAGAAGCTCAGAAGATCTCCTCTTGGAAGCCTAGAAGATCTTATCACAAAAGGTATTCTTCTCACAAAAGGTCAAAAAGTTTTCTCATCGAAGGATAAAAGTCTCTTTCCAGAAGGCCAGTTGATCTTCTTAAAGAAGGCCCGAAAGAAGTCCTCAAGAAGGTCCTAAGTTCTTCTCATAGAAGATGAGAAGGTCTTCTCTCAGAAGCCCAAAAATCTTCCCACAAAATGGGGAGAAGGCCAGAATGTTGTCCCATTGAAAATAGGAAGATGTTCTGATAAAACGCCAGAAGGTCCGAGTATCTTCTAATAGAAGACGAGAAGGTCTTTTCATAGAAGTCGATACTGTTTTCCCATAGAAGGCGAAAAGGTCTTCACATAGAAGACGAGAAGGTCTTCTCATAGAAGACAAAAAGTTTACCACGTAGAAGTCGAATAGTTCGTCTCATAGAAGACGAGAAATTCGCCTCATAGAAGACGACAAGTTTGCCTCATGGAAGACCAGAAGTTCGCCTCATAAAAGACGAGAAGTTCGCCTCATAGAAGACGAAAAGTTCGCCTCATAGAAGACAAAAAGTTAGTCTCCTAGAAGACGAGAAGTTCGCCTCCTAGAAGACGAGAAATTCGTCTCCTAGAAGACGAAAAGTTCGCCTCATAGAAGACAAAAAGTTAGTCTCCTAGAAGACGAGAAGTTCGCCTCCTAGAAGACGAAAAGTTCGCCTCATAGAAGACGAGAAGTTCGCCTGATAGAACACAAGAAGTTCGTCTCCTAGAAGACGAGAAGTTCGCCTCATAGAGGGTCTACTTCTGGAAGACCAAAAGGTCTTCTCATGGAAGGCCGCAATGTCTCAGAAGACCACATTTCTACTCTCAGAAAGCCAAAGCCTTCAAAGAAGGTGCGAAGGTCTTCTCGTAGAATCCCAGAAGATTATCGCATAGCAGGCCAGGTCCTTTCATCTGTATTCATTGAAAGCCTCTGAAATATTCGAATTCTCGTCTTGTTACATTATTGAAATTTCAGATCTTTTTTTTTTTTCAAATCGAAATATTTTCCATGTAATTGTTTCAAATATTTTACCGGTTTCCTATATTCTTTTTAAGCCTATAAACTCTATTAAGCACATCTGTATCCTCTACCGGCCAACAAGAAGTAAAACGCAGTTTCAACACGTGGTAAAGTAATAATTATTAATTAATTAATTCAATATCTTCATAGGCCAGCCAACTCTCTCAAGAAATGTTTATTAAACAATTAATGTAAATGAAACTGGTTTATACTTTCTATTCGAGTACCTTCTTTTAAAATATGGGCGGTAAATGCAATAAAATAAAAATTAATTTATTAAAAATATATATATAGAATATACATTGAAAATATAAAAAATATTAAGTTTATTTTAGGTCCAATTTACCTTTTTCCTATGGATGCAACCTATTCTTGGCATTTCAATAGATAAAATATGGAATTGGACTTTCCGTAATAAATTTGCGATCATAGAATTTTTATCCACTTTTAATTTCATTAGGAGCCGAAAAGTATGCAACGATTTTTTATAATGCCTACAGTACTATAATGAAAAGCAGTAAATGCTTTGGGAAAAAAGCCCAAAGTTAACTTTCAGATTTCGACTTTGAGATCAAAGATTTTTTATCGGCTATTAATATTAATAAACTTTAAATAGAATTCAAAAATTACTGTTTCTTGTACTTTTTATTACCATTTTTTTTATATTCAAGTGAACCTAAAAGTATGCAACATTTAAGCAAACGAATTGTGGTGTTTGGTAAAAATCTCAAAATTTGCTCAGCAAAGAGTCTTGAGTCTTGACCACAAGATTTTTTGATTAAATGTCGATCTATGATTTAATTGTTTTTTTTTTTTTTATTTTTGATAATTAATTCTATGCTTCATACGGAAATGATGAAATGTTATGTAGTTACCGACAGACGTACAGGGTGTAAACCACTTGTCTGACAGCTGTTTAAATTATTCCAGTGACAGCTTATTATATTGTTTACAATCGTACAAAAGCATTTTGGTAAGAATTTTCCAGAAAAAAAGTTATTCGTGAAGGAATTCAAGAGTGATAGTGTGATTTCTTTATAGTTGGCCGGAAAACCGTAAGTGGCTATCGTTAGAGCACTCCAGCATTTAAATGTGAATAAATCTTTTGTGTCTCGTACCATCGCTCGTTACCGTGATTGGTGACTGGTAGCGTAGCCAGACGTCAAGGAAGTGGACGGAAGAAATACCCAACATCAGCAGAAATGTTTCGAAAAGTAAAGAAGAGACTTGATTACGTCGCAGTGGCCGAAAATGGCTCATGAGCTGAACACAGCGCAATATTCCATTCGGCAAATATTGAAACATGAGCTCGGGGCAAAGCCATTGAAATTCCAAAAAGTGCAAGAACGTACACCGCAACAGAAAGAAAATAGACTCAAAAGAGCTAAAGAGTTGCTTCGCTTAGCCAAAAGTGGTGAACTGCCGAATTTGGTTTTCTCCGATGAGAAAACAATCGTTGTCCAGAAGTTTGTAAACAAACAAAATGATCGTGTTTACTTGCCAAAGAAGTTAGTTGTAAATGTGCACCTTCGGCCATCAGAACTCAAGCGCCGGCCATGGTGATGGTGTTGGCCGCCATAACAGCCGATGGTCGCTCTCCGCTCGTATTAATTGACCATGGCATCAGAATAAATGCCTAATATTATCGCGAAAATATTCTGGAGGGTGTATTAAACCCTTGGGTACGCAAACATTTTGGCCGCAGACCTTGGTCTTTCCAACAGAACTCAGCACTATCGCATTCAGCACTCGCCACCCAAGAATGGTTACAAAATGAGGTTCCTCACTTAATTTCCAGCGCATAATGGCCACCAAAATCTCCAGATACCAAACCGTAGGACTATTATGTCTGTAGTATTTTGGAAAGTAAGGTTGGCACTAAAAATGGGGAAATGGAGTGGGCCAAAATACCGCAGAGCAACTTTCGTGCAGCGTGTAATGGTTTCATTGGCCATAATTCGTGCCAAAGTTGACCAATTCGATAAAATCTAAACGTATTCTAAAATTTGATGCTATTTCCGACATTTTTTGCTTTCATTCAATAAATTTAAAAAAAAATGTAAAAATTATGGCGTTTGACTTTGTTGCAGTTTTTTTTATCTCACCCTGTAATATTACGATTTACCAAGTTTGGATCAAATCGGATACTCCCTTCGAGAGAGAGAGAGAGAGAGAGAGAGAGAGAGAGAGACGGGCGGACATCGTTAGATCGCTAGGATCTTACACCGTTATTTCGATGAGACGTGTTTGGCCGTATCAAATGATATAGAGGGTATATATCATTTGATACGGTATATATCATTTGATACTAGCCATATGGTTGAGGGTATAAACAATTAAAAACAGTTTAAGAGTCGGCTTTACTTTCGATTAGGTATGCCTAAGACAGAACTCCCGTTCATAGATTTCCTTTGAAACCCTATAATGAATATGATTATGGGGTTTGAGAGGTCTTCCTCGAATAAATTTTTTCAAAAGTCCTTCAGTATTAGGAGATTTCTAGAACATTTTGGGCCTTTGCTAGAGAATCCATAATGAAATAATTTTTAATATTTTTGAAAAGACTTTCACTTAAGTACCGACTTTATTGAAAATTTAATATCAGTCAATAACATATTTTTTATATGGGGAATATAATGCGTTCAATGCGCCCCAAGAAAAGGATCCGCGGCCAGCTGCTATAATTTATCTTGTCATAAATGTTTGCTCCTCAATAAAGATCATAATTTAGTAAATTCAGGGTAGCTTTTCTCTTTTTTCAGCTGTCGTGTCAATCAAAATAATAATTGATCCAGATAATAATCGCCAATTAACATTTAATTAACAACGATAACAAAAAAAAAAAAATAATGCATCATTTGAAAAACCGGTTACCAAAATACAAAATACCAGACACGCCAAACAATAATGAAAACAAACAGAAGACACTGTTTCAGAACCAGCTCCAAAAGTGGGCCAAGAAATGTAACGCCCATTTTTTGGGTTTGAAACTCACTTTTAATATAAATAAGTGCAGCAGTATTCCAATTAAATCAGTTCACTCTGAAACATTCAGAATAGATTAACAATATCAAAAAGGATTCTAATAATCAAAATGTTCAAATACGTAAGTATTGAAATGTTGGAAAGAAATCGTACTGAGGTTTAATTTGGAATTTTCTGTTTTTTGCAGATTTTCGTATTATGCTTTGTAGTTGCCATGGTGGCTGCTCATCCCCACAAGAAGGAGGAGCATGGCCACGAACATGGTCATGATGACCATAAGGGACATGATGACCACAAGGGACACGATGACCATAAGAAACATGATGAACATAAGGGTCATGATGATCACAAGAAACATGATGATCATCATCATGACGATCATAAGGGCCATGATGATCATAAGAAACATGATGACCACAAAGGACATGGCCATGATGACCATAAGGGACATGATGACCACAAGAAACATGATGATCACCATCATGACGATCATAAGAAACATGATGATCATAAGGGCCATGATGACCATAAGGGTCATGGTCATGACGAACATGGTCACGATGATCACAAGGGACATGGCCACGATGATCACAAAGGTCATGATGATCATAAGAAACACGATGACCACAAAGGACATGGCCATGATGACCACAAGCATTAATTCATTCATTGATATTGTAAACAAAAAATCTTTTTTGTTAAATGTTCAGTTACGAGCTCAATCTAATACTGTTCCTGTTTAAATATTTGTTCAAGAAAAAAAAAACCAAAAAAAATAAATAAATCGAATTTATATTTGCAAACACACCCAAAACATTTTAAAATTTAAGGTCCATAAATTAGTTACGATTTTTAAAAATGTTAATTTCAACTACAATTTTGTAAAAAAAAAATGGTCCAGCAAATGAAAAAAAAACGGAAATTTGATGTGTTGGCGCTCAAATTGGTCGGGTTTTCGAAAATTCGATATTTTGGAAAATTCGATTATTGGAAACTAAAATCTCTAAATTTTACATGCAGGACACTATTGGTTCTATTCATCAGGTACTGTGAAGTTTTGGGAAATTTGTGCTAAAAAGTACTAAAAACTGTTTTACATTGCAATAAGAGTGCTAGTATTCTGAAATTTAATACCTTCCTTTTGTGACAAACCTCGAGTCACCTGTGACTTTTGGTTTCAAAAATCAGACAGTTCCCAGTCTACAACATTCCTAAAAAAAACTTAAACTAGGAAATTAGACAAAATATATAAAAATTGGTACCAAGGGGTTACTTAAATGTACTGTTTCCCGAAAAGTACCACAAACTTGGAACTAAAATTCTATATTTTTGGAATTAGAACTTTTGATTTCGCCTCATAGGTCACTTATTATACCCTCCACCATAGTATACATTCTAGACCCATTTTAGTACATATATATTCTTGATCAGCATAAAATTCTATGTCGATTTATCAATGTCCGTCCGTCTGTCCGTCTGTGGAAATCACTCTAGCTTCCGAACGAAATGAAGTAGGTTGATAAAATTTTACTCAAATGTTTATTATGTCTGCAGAACTTTTGGTATTGAAAATGGGCCATGTAGGTCCACTTCTTCGTATAGCCCCAATATTGTGGCACCCCCTGATATTCGGTATTCTGATAATTTTAGCGACATTATTTACCAGAATTGTTCCAAATTTGGTATTTGAAGTTCGTAATAGATACTACAACATAAAACAGAAAATGGACCATGCAGGTCCACTTCTTCTTGTAGCCCCCATATAACGGTACCCCCCGATATTCGGCATTTGAAGTTCGTAATGGATAATACAGCCTATGAAAAAAATTGTCTGTGCAGGTCTACGTTTTACAACTCCCATGATTCCTCCTAATAATCGGAATTTTGATGATTTTAGCTACATTATAAACAGATTTTGTCAAGATTCGTATTTGAATATTGTAATAGCTTGTGACAAAAGTTGCCTATGCAGGTCCACGTCGTCGTACAGACCCTAATATACGGCTACATTTGGTATTTTTAAGATTTTAACAGAATTTTTCACGGATTTTATTTTTCTGAAAATTGCCAAATTTGTACCCGATGGTGGAGGGTATTCAAAGTTCGGCCCGGCCGAACTTACAGCTTTTTTACTTGTTTTTATTTGTAGCTGTAACTGATGAAGTAGTTCTTGGGTAATAAAATGGTCCTAAACGTACTTAATACAAAGACAAGAGTTAGAATTGTATGACTTTAAATTAGCGGTCCTCGAACTTTCAATATACACGGTGAGATAAAAAACTGCAACAAAGTCAAACATCATGATTTTTACTTTTTTTTTTAATTTTATTGAATTAAAGCAAAAATTGTCGGAAATAGCATCAAATTTTAGAATAAATTTAGATTTGTTCGAATTGGTCACCTTTGGTACGAATTATGGCCTTCAAACGGCTCCAGACACAATAGTCGAACGGATTGGTGTCCGGCGATTTTGGTGGCCATTGTGCGCTGAAAATGAAGCGAGGAACCTCATTTTATAACCATTTTTGCGTGGCGCGTGCTCAGTGCGATGGTGCTGAGTCCTGTTGGAATGTCCAAGGTCTGCGGACAAAATGTTTGCGAGCCCAAGGCTTTAATACACCCTCCACATTATAATTGGCATTTATTCTGATGCCACGGTCGATTAATACGAGCGGAGAGCGACCCCGATCTCATTCCTCAAAATTTGAGCAATTTTTCGGCCACTGCCACGCGGTTTTCAATCAAGTCGCTTTCTTACTTTTCAAACCATTTCTGCTGATGTTGCTGTTTTCTTCCGTCCACTTTCTTGACGTCGGGTATGAGATACAAAAGATTTATTCACATTTAAATGCTGGAGTGCTCTAACTATAGCCACTTGTGGTTCTCCAGCCAATATGAAGAAATCACATTGTCACGCTTGAATTCCATCACGAATAACTTTTTTTTCTGGAAAATTCTCACAAAAATGCTTTTGTACGCTTGTAAAAAATATAATGAGCTGTCACTGGAATAATTTTAACAGCTGTCGGACGAGTGGCTTAAAAATGACAGCTCTCTGAAATTTGTTGCAGTTTTTTCATCCCATCCTGTATATTCATAATCAGCATAAAAATCTAAGTCGATTTAACGATCTCCTGTTGAAATCACGATACAGCCCACATTTTTACGTATCCGGTATGGTTCGTATTGCAAATGTGAAATATCGGTCCACGTTTTGGTATAGCCCCAATATAACGGTACCTCCCGTTATTCGGTATTTTGACGATGTTTGCCACATTCTTTAACGGATTTGTTTAAAAATTGGTATTTGTAGGCCATAATTGGTTCTAGCTCCGGTGGTGAAATATTGTGTGCATAGGTCCAGATTTTGGTATAGCCCCCATATAAGGATACCTCCCAATATTTTGATTTTTGCCAAATTTTTCACGGTTTTGTCTAGAAATTGGTATTTGCTGGTCATAATGGTCTTTAGCTCCGGTGGCGAAACATTGTATGTATAGGTCCACGTTTTGGTATAGTCCCCATGTAACGGTACCTCCCGATATTCGGTATTTTGGCAGTGTAATTTGTATTGTGTCTAGGATGATTAGAATTGAAAATGTGATATATCGGTCCAGGTTTTAGTGTAGTCCCCATAAAACGGTACCTCTTGATATTCGGTATTTTGATGATTTTTGTCACATTTTTTCACGGA